AAAAAAAAAAAAAAAAAAAAAAAAAAAAAAAAAAAAAAAAAAAAAAAAAAAAAAAAAAAAAAAAAAAAAAAAAAAAAAAAAAAAAAAAAAAAAAAAAAAAAAAAAAAAAAAAAAAAAAAAAAAAAAAAAAAAAAAAAAAAAAAAAAAAAAAAAAAAAAAAAAAAAAAAAAAAAAAAAAAAAAAAAAAAAAAAAAAAAAAAAAAAAAAAAAAAAAAAAAAAAAAAAAAAAAAAAAAAAAAAAAAAAAAAAAAAAAAAAAAAAAAAAAAAAAAAAAAAAAAAAAAAAAAAAAAAAAAAAAAAAAAAAAAAAAAAAAAAAAAAAAAAAAAAAAAAAAAAAAAAAAAAAAAAAAAAAAAAAAAAAAAAAAAAAAAAAAAAAAAAAAAAAAAAAAAAAAAAAAAAAAAAAAAAAAAAAAAAAAAAAAAAAAAAAAAAAAAAAAAAAAAAAAAAAAAAAAAAAAAAAAAAAAAAAAAAAAAAAAAAAAAAAAAAAAAAAAAAAAAAAAAAAAAAAAAAAAAAAAAAAAAAAAAAAAAAAAAAAAAAAAAAAAAAAAAAAAAAAAAAAAAAAAAAAAAAAAAAAAAAAAAAAAAAAAAAAAAAAAAAAAAAAAAAAAAAAAAAAAAAAAAAAAAAAAAAAAAAAAAAAAAAAAAAAAAAAAAAAAAAAAAAAAAAAAAAAAAAAAAAAAAAAAAAAAAAAAAAAAAAAAAAAAAAAAAAAAAAAAAAAAAAAAAAAAAAAAAAAAAAAAAAAAAAAAAAAAAAAAAAAAAAAAAAAAAAAAAAAAAAAAAAAAAAAAAAAAAAAAAAAAAAAAAAAAAAAAAAAAAAAAAAAAAAAAAAAAAAAAAAAAAAAAAAAAAAAAAAAAAAAAAAAAAAAAAAAAAAAAAAAAAAAAAAAAAAAAAAAAAAAAAAAAAAAAAAAAAAAAAAAAAAAAAAAAAAAAAAAAAAAAAAAAAAAAAAAAAAAAAAAAAAAAAAAAAAAAAAAAAAAAAAAAAAAAAAAAAAAAAAAAAAAAAAAAAAAAAAAAAAAAAAAAAAAAAAAAAAAAAAAAAAAAAAAAAAAAAAAAAAAAAAAAAAAAAAAAAAAAAAAAAAAAAAAAAAAAAAAAAAAAAAAAAAAAAAAAAAAAAAAAAAAAAAAAAAAAAAAAAAAAAAAAAAAAAAAAAAAAAAAAAAAAAAAAAAAAAAAAAAAAAAAAAAAAAAAAAAAAAAAAAAAAAAAAAAAAAAAAAAAAAAAAAAAAAAAAAAAAAAAAAAAAAAAAAAAAAAAAAAAAAAAAAAAAAAAAAAAAAAAAAAAAAAAAAAAAAAAAAAAAAAAAAAAAAAAAAAAAAAAAAAAAAAAAAAAAAAAAAAAAAAAAAAAAAAAAAAAAAAAAAAAAAAAAAAAAAAAAAAAAAAAAAAAAAAAAAAAAAAAAAAAAAAAAAAAAAAAAAAAAAAAAAAAAAAAAAAAAAAAAAAAAAAAAAAAAAAAAAAAAAAAAAAAAAAAAAAAAAAAAAAAAAAAAAAAAAAAAAAAAAAAAAAAAAAAAAAAAAAAAANTTATTGAAGCTACTGGGCATGGTTAAAACTCAAGACAGCGTAAGCACAATTATTCCAGATATTACAGGTTCCGACAAGTAAAGAATTTTTATAGTCATGCCACAAATAAGCTATATATTGATTATTGACCATTTGTGACATGCTATAACGAGCAAAAATTTAAAAAAACTAATAGGTAGGTTTAAAATTAATAAATACAAATGTATTCTGGCAGTGAATGAGTTAATTATGCTTTCTATTTGCAAAACTCCTCAACCTTAACACAAAATAAGAAAAAAAGTGAATTTTTAAGAAATTTGCGGGATTTCCCAGGATAAGAAAAATTTCCCGGGATATTTCCCGGTTAAAAAAACAACCGGGATCCCGTTTCAGAAACCCTAGTGTGAATTTTCTTTATGGTATGTTTTTATAAGTAATCGACAATGCTAATGTTGGTTTATAAACAACCATGTAGAATGCTGTAAATATGCTTTTGAACAATATAAAGATTATATTATGGTAGTTCTTTATACTAGTAATTGGATAGCACAGATCTTACAAATATTTTAAAAGTGGATAAGACACAGTTTGGAATGAAATGCTTCATGTAACATATCTTAAGATATATAACTGGTTATAATTATTCGTGATCCAGTCATTTCATTGGCAAAAACTGAATTACAAACAACGCATGTAGCTATTTCAAACTAATTTCAATTATTCTTCAAATATTAAAGTCAAACAATCTACAAATTATCAGGCTACAATTAGGCTAAGTTTATAATTAGATATAAAGTAATTTGTCTAGAGGTAGGTGGTTAAGCCATCATTTCATGATAATTTTAATACTTATAATAAATTAATTTTAATTTAGAATTACTTTGTATTCTAATTATTATCTGTAGATAAATTAGTATGTATGTAATTATTAACTTAACCTAATCATAGCCCAATAACTAGACAGATTGTATGATTTTAATAAAAATTAAGTTTGTTGAGTTGTTCTTAAAATATATCCTCAAAATTAGGTTATGCTGAAACATAATCTAATTTTTTGTCTAACTTTCCTAATGTCTTGACAATCAGTATTTGTGATAGAAGTCCTTGTAAATATTTCTGAAATTTATATCAACAAATGTCAAATAGTGAAAAATTTTGACAAAAATACAACAAGACAAAGTAGTTGTTATATTTTTCCATTGTAATTATTGAATTTGCATATATTATATGATGTCTAATGCATCTATTGTTTAATTATTAATTAATGCATTTATATTTAAATATAAAAGAAATATATCATAAAAGCCAACAAACTAATTGAATATAATTAATATGATGTTTAGTTTACGTAAGTTATGTTAACCAGTTAAACAAATACAAGATGTCCCAAAAGACATTTGACTAAGATACTTTAAACAATATTTTAAAAATGATAAAAACTAGTTTGGAATACTTGCATGTTATGCTGTTTGTTTTGCTAGTTTTAACTATAGTAGAGCGTCGTTTATCCGAATCAATTGGGAACTGAGGTTGTTCGGATAACCGAATATATTACAAAAAAATATATTAACCTATCCCATACTGAAATTATTCTCCATTGCGTGTCGCTTTGCGTTGAATTTTTGATGTTAAGCCTAACGTAAATTTTTAAAAATAATAATCATGGCTATTGTATCTTTAAAAATTATTTCTTTATTTTGTACAAATAAAATAAATATATTGAAAAATATAAAAACAAAAAAATTAGATTTTGGAAGTTAATCTAGTATCAAAAACATTCAATTCAGCATGACACAGTCCAAATGGAACGCTTTCGGTTAACTGACGTTTCAGTTGATTGGCTTTCGGATAAACGATGCTCTACTGTATTATTAAAGTAATCTTATATATATGTATATTGGTTGATTGAATTTTGAACCTTCCTTCATATAATATTTAAGATATAAAATGAATTCAATGAAATTACTTAATGGATTCATTCATTTAATTTTCCTTGAAATATTTGTCTACTTTGTAATCAAATTACTGTATTAAGACTTATCTGCTTCTAAACAAGGAATATATTTAAAGTTTTTTTTTAAAAAATTCTTTTTGTTAAATATTATATTTAATATATTATTACTTTTATTATAGAGAAAAAATATGGCAATCGTTTGACCAATTGCCATATTTTTTTCTCTATATAACTGACTCCCAAGATTTTTAATTTTTGGACTCAAAGGACCTTGAAACATCAAGAAAAATGCAAAACAATTTGGGGTGTTTTTCTGTATGTATGGATGTATGTGTGAAGGCAGCATGATTTTGTTCACCCTCTTTAAAGCTTAATAACTTCTGTGCTTTTTGTTTAAAATTTCTGAAATTTTTCAGGGAGGTTTGTGTATAAGGAGGATTGATGCTTTTAAATTTTGATAGTCATAGGGCAAGGGGTGAGGAGATAGAAGGGGTCATGTGTCATATCTCAAGTGGAGTCTGACTTAAAGATTTTACTAATTATTAGCACTTAAAATTTTTTTTATAAAACTCATATCCACCCTTAAAATTAAGTTTTTTTAATAAAATGTTTGTTTAAGTTATGGCAACGCAACATTTGGGTGATTTGCCTAAGGGGATGCCTTCTGTGAGGTCTTTTTAAGGGAAACTGGCTCCTATTTACATGTTACAGACGTGGAGAAAACTCAGAATATTCCATGTGGCCAGCCCATCCAAGCGAGGTGCAAACCTACAACTGAACTCCCAGTGTTCAGGGTACAAAGACTGCTTGGCCACTGGTGGGCTTCTTTTTTTTTTTAAATAAAATGTCATAACAGATGGCACTACAGTAGAGCGTCGTTTATTCGAAAGCTGGTCAACCGAAATGTCAGTTAACCAAAAGCATTCTAGTCAGCAAATTTAAATTTCTGTTAGTGCTATGGTGCTGCAACCTTTGGCTATGTCTTGGGCTACTCCAATATTTTTTTGTTGGTGTGTGTGTTTTAGCTAGCAGCACTGGTACTTTTGTGTGGTGTTTTTCTGAGGACTGTGTGTTGGGACGTGCTGAATCGAACGTTTTTGATACTAGATTAACTTCTAAAGTATAATTTTTTTTTGTTTTTATATTTTTCAATATATTTATTTTGTTTGTATAAAATAAAGAAATAATTTTTAACGATACAATAACCACAATTATTATTATAAAAATTTTTGTTAGGCTTAGCATTGACAAAAATTCAATGCAAAGCGACACACAACGGAGAAAAATTTTAACATGGGATAGGTTAATATATTTTTTCGTACATAATCGGTTACCTGAAAAATAAGTTATCCAAACAACCCCAGTCCCCAATTGATTCGGATAAATGACGCTCTACTGTATATACAATTTTGAATGCTGTTGCAAAAATAGTCCAGTAATAAGTTAGGCAACTCATTACTGGATTTTTTTTAATGTTAATACAAAGTATCTAATTTTTTATTATAAAAAGTTCAATTGTAAAATAGATTGAAGAAAATCTTACTTGTTTCTTTCTGTTTTTATCTGGCAGTAATTCACCAATGCGAAGGATCCAACTATTTATTTTATCCTTACGACGGCGCTCTACCTCATTATGAACACGCCGTCTTCTGTCTTGGCCAGTAGCATTACCATTACTGCTCCTTTGTATATAAATTGTATATATTATTTTAAAAATACAATATATATATACATTTTTATAAAATGTTTTAAAACATATCTGAAAGAAAAAATTATAAAATTAATAGATATATTATATGTAATATTAAATCACAGAAATTATATATTTATTTAAAAAATGTTAATAAAAGCTATTTTTTTAATTAAAAAATTATAAACAGAAATTTAAATATATTAATCAATTTTTAATGAATACTAATTTAAAAAATAAATTTAGTTTTAATATACTGTAGGTAAAATATTAACCCTTCTACTCCAATGTGATGATATATCATCAGTTTGGCCTTAGATGAAACATATGGAATGACAATATTTTGTCATTATGTTTAATCAAAAATTCTCTGCATCATTGTACTTGTGTTTGGTGATATTTTATTGCTGCTCACTGCCTGTAAGTTATATGTACTGTATATGTATATATATACATACATATATACATGAGGTGTGTTTTTTTAAGTAAGTACCTTTTTAAAATAGGACTGCTGCAGTGCTACAGTCGGAACAGTACAGAACAAAGCTGACATTCATTGGCAGATTAGTAAGGTGCATGGAAAAAACATTATGAATGATGGAATGGTAAGAAAATGGGTTAGAGCATTTAAAGATGGCATACTAATGCCCATGACGAAAAGCATAATGGGCGACTGTCTGTCATTACTGAAGACTTGGTGCAAAAAGTTGATGCAAAAGTTCGAGAAAACAGATGCTTTTGTGAAATCCATGATTTTTACGCAGATATTGGAAAAATCTTTGTGAACAACTCTGTTGAAATAAACACTCTTGATGAGTATATTGGAGGTCACCAATTGTTGTCACACTTAGATGGGAAAGCTGACACTTAGTTGATCAGAATGCACCGTTAGTGTCAACAGAAGTCGATCACGTGACTCATTTCCCATGAAAAATGTATAAAAGCTCGAGCCCCCAGAAGCTCTGGGTGACCAAAGAAAGTTATACTTATTACTGTGTGCATCTTGTCTCCATGCTCCAGACATAGCGACCGAAAGGACATCGCCATATGACAAGACAACAACTTTAAACTTCAATCGCCATTCTACAGTTCCTGCACCAACTACGATTCATACGGCCCATTCAACGAATGCATATTAGTCATAGCCTTTTAGAGGTATTTGTATTTTCGAGCATTGTGAACTCTCTCTCTCAGAATAGTGAACTATTCTGTATTGTAGAGTGAACTTATTTAACTGCATTTAGCCTATGTATTGTTATAGCCTCATGTATCTTAGCTTTAATATAAACGCTTGTTTATTTTGTTTAACCTGTCATCTATCGTTGTACCTACCAACTTCCCTACGCCATCCCCACTCACTTTTTGCCCTCCTAGCCATCCTATGACCGCGAGATCAGGTTTTACCAACCTTGTGCAGTGTAAGTGGTCAGAAAGGATTAACCCCTGACCCTCTGCTTATCTCACACTTTACAATTTCATCATTATCTTATGATAACTTTTCTCAAGTTTCAAGAAGTGTTCTTTATGAAATTGTGACAAAACATTTAAATTATCGGAAGTTGTGCTCACGATAGATATCCAAAATGCTGACAGAGGTGCTCAAAACCAAACATTTAGCCAGTACTTTGACTTTCCTTGAATGGTATAGTGATGAAGGTGATGTGTTTTTAGGCCAAACTGTCACTGGCAATGAAACATGGGTGGCTCATGTTACACCAGAATCCAAGGAATGGAGGCATTCAACATCACCCAAGAAAGTCAAGTTCAAGCAAACAATTTCAGCCTGCAAAATCATGTGCACTGTGTTTTGGGACAGGCAGGGGGTGATATTGATAGATTTTTTGCCTCGGGATGACACAATAAATGCCGAGACATATAACTAGACTGTGTTGTGCAATCCAAAACAAAAGGTGTGACAAGCTCAGTAAAGGGATTGTTTTGCATCATGACAGTGCCTGTCCACACATGACTCAACAAACTCAAAATCTTATCACAATATATGGCTGGGAACAACTTGATCACCCACCGTATAGCCCTGATCTAGCACCTAGTGACTACCACTTGTTCCTCCACTTGAAAAAGCATCTAGATGGTCAGTACTACAACAATGATAATGATGTCAAAATGGCTGTACTGAAGTGGTTGGAAAATCAGGTGCCAGGTTTCTATGAGGATAGAATTCAGAAGCTGGTTGTATGATATGGTAAGTGCCTTAATATTGGAGGAAATTATGTCGAAAAGTAGATTAAAATATAGGCTTTCATGTAAGAATAAAATTGTTAAGAAAATTGAACTTTTATTCTTTTAATATCAAAATGGTACTTACTTAAAAACACACCTTTGACTGACTTAGCATATGCACAGTTGGACAATTCTCTGTATCCCTACCATAAAAGTTTGATCAATCCAAACTTTTCTTACAAAATACAATATGGCTATACAGATATGATACGGAGTTTATAACCATGCTATACGGATACGCCCTTACACTATGAAGTTTATAACGTGACCCTTACTTTTTAACTATAATTAGAGTCAGATAATGATATGAAGCAGTGATGCTATTGCCTTGCTGCTTCATACCACTAAGTAGCATTTTTCCTAATAAGCCATTCTTAAAAGAACTTAATTGTTTTGTCATAAAAATAGAAACATGCAAGGCTGTAACATTGCAAGAGATTGTAAATTGTAAAAGCACAACAGTATAAGTTTTCATTTCCATTATTAATTTCATGTAACTGAGATAGCATTTGCAAAGATTCTCATTTTATTATTTTTCACCACATGGCACTGACTATAATAATTCAAACAAACGGAGTTAGGAAATATTAGTCCAATACTTTGCATAATCCATCTAAGTAAAACAAAAACTCTGATTATATAGTTTTTATAAAATAATTTGTTACAATTATATGCATGTATTTAAAGGTTTATAACAAATATAAAATTATCATCTCACAGCAGATGATCATACATATATTTATTATATACATAGTTAAGATTTTTCTTGAGTAAGAAAACCCAATTAATAAATAAAATAAAATTCTAAAAGACAATTAATAATAGAATTTGGTTATCAATAATAATAATAATAATAATAATCTCTCCCCTGGTCACCACCTGGTCATGGTGGGAGAGCCCAATAATTTTACTGATCTACAGGGAAATGCAGACTGGAGCACAAACTCCTTGTAGGGACACAAAGGTCTATGGGGGAGACATGAAGCTAAGAGTGACCATACCCACATTCTGCGAAGATATTTATCATGGTAGTAACCAGATCAAAGTGTGATACCAGCTCAGATGTCGCCTGGGTTAACAAGGTCTGCGTTTGTGGGTTAGGTAGAAAATTTGTTTCATGTTCAAAAAATAGGCCACAGTCTCTCTTGGATACCGGTGGTGAAAGCAGCGCCGGCCCAAGCATGGCTACTGCAATGCCCTCAACAGATATGAGGAATCAACCTACCTTGGTGTTTCCGTGGCAATGCATCCACAGACCACAAAGGCTGGAAAACCACGCCAACGGATGAAATGGACATCAGAAATGAAGAAGTTTATTATAGCCTGATATTAAGGCGATCGTTTGGTGATTTAACAAGTTTATCATCTGCACTTACTACACCATCACAAAACTCGAAACAAACATGACAGCATACAGACAACAACTACATCATAGATTCACACAACAATATCCTCACCTCACTGTCACCAAAGAGTTGTTGATCAAAAAAAGAACAATTATACACAACAACCTTATCCCACAAACAACACTTGAACTTATCAAACAACAGGTTGCTGATCAAATACATCAACAGACAGAAACATTTAACATTAAT